CCTGACACGTGACGCTTCTGCTTCCGATGTTTTGGATCGGTCGCGTTGCATCGAATCCGCCGGTTTCCAGGTTCGAAGGGGAACGACTCGGAAGTTCCCTCGACGACTGAGGAATCCATTCGACTCCATCAGGGGACGTCCACGACCTTCCGGATCCCAAGACTGGTGACGAAAGGCTAGTGGTGAACTATGACTAGATGTGTCTACCAGTGACTACCACGTGGTACACTCCCTCCAACAAACATGGAAGTGGACAAACCCCTCATGATTGCTTCGGGGAGTGTACCCCGATGTCTGGAGCCCAACAATTGCAGCTGAGCTCAGGTCAAAGCATTTAGTGGAATGAATTCCCCTCGCCTGCTGAACCCCTATGGAGACGTCCAGCCTTAGCTAAGGGCGATCCATCCGGGTTCGCGAGTGATGAAATGGCTCGCAAAGGCCAAGAACCGCATGGTAGCGGTGGGAGTGAGTTTTCATGGGAGAGCATGGACCACCAGTCACTAGACATGTCTGGCCTCAAAAAACAAAACAAAAAAACAGCACTCAATCTGTAGTGGGCCAAAAGCTGCTTGTGACTTGCTCGGCACAGCTTCGGCTGGTCCCCAACTCACAAGCAGCCCACCAACTGCCTGACCAAAAATACCAAAAAGCAAGCACCATGTGAAAAACAAAAGGATGGTGTCGCAGTCGGATTCTTAGGAGTTGAAAGAAAAAACCTTCGGGGCCCACCAGAGTCGGTCCGTGTTTCTTCGATCCCCCGACCGCCCGATCCACATCTTGACACCTTCTCCGGTTGGAAAGGTGTCAACGCAGAGGTGTCCGAGAGGACATCAGGCTGTGTGGTCTTTAAAGAGAGGCCATCAGGCCATTTCACCCAAAAGGCAAAACGAGCTTCCTACTATATACAAATGTAACATGTACTGTATATGTACTATATAATAATAAAAAGATAGATCCCAAAGCTCATGGAGTTCGATGGTAGTTTTAGGGGACCGGAAAAAAAAATAACAATAAACTGTCTCTTTTCAGTGCCTCCCTTGGCCTCCCTAGTTCTCTCCTGGTTCTCGCCTGAAGCTCTGAACTTGAACAACCCTACAAGTTCGGAATCTGCCCGAGGCGCTCTTTGGGGTTGGAGATCACTTCCGCCGCATGGTGCCCAGAGATCACCTGCACATCTTGGGCACCCTTGGCGTCCAGCGCCCCCCCGGACCGGACGGAAGTCCAGAGTGTCCTCCCAACATCGGGTCGCTGCCCCCTTGGAGTGGAGGCACCCCGGCACCCTCCAACAACTCAACACAGCAAGTCACCAGCTTTGAGTGATGATCCCGCCTTGCAGTGACCAAGTTTAAGGAAATTGGGCTGAGCTACTCATTTGTCCCTCATGCTCCAGACATTGCGCCGTCTGTACCAAGGAATTCCACGTCTCTCATGTCCAGATCTTTGGATCCTCCATCCACGGATTCCACGCTTCATCCATGCGACGGATTAGAATATACCCTAGGCCCTAAGCACTGTGCTCACCAATTCAGACGACCAAGTGCACAAACATCTATTCTCGTGTGTTTCTGTGGCCCCTTCACAAGCCATGATCTGGATGCTCACAGCCCATCCCTCTGACTGTTCCTTTACGCACTGGTCCTGGGAAGTGGAATGACCCACCAAAAGGGGGGAAGAAGTGCCTGATGTACTTCATGCACTTCCTAATCTTCCTAAATGTGCAACTGTTCGGCAGTTAGCATGAAGCTTCCAATAAGAAATCACCTCTGAAAAGCGAGTCCAACAGCATCCAAAATATGGATATTGTTCTGGAACTACACAAGACCCATAGCTTGTGCAGAAATACCGGTTCGACCGGTTCGGCACAGCGGGGTGCCTTGATGGTGGTTTGATGCCGATCCCCCATGGACTGCCCCTCCCACACCTGAGTCCACAAAGAGAAGACGCGACGTTTCAAGAAACCAGGTGTGTTGATAGGATGGTGTCTTTTTAAAGTGGCTTCAATGATGATCATCCAACAGGACATCAAACATGGTGGTTAGATACGGACTAGATGATGATCTGTTCCCCTTTTAGAATGTCTTCCTGGCAGGATGACAGACCGAGGTGTCGGTGGAGCAAAACTCCTTCCCACAAAGTTGTTGTCGATGTCGAGCTATAGCAGCAGTAAACAAACCAACGAAACAACCATGGAGGATGTCAGAAGCCATTGATTGGAGTGGCCAGTGAGTTCTGAAAGCAAACAGTCTTCTGTTTCTCCTGTCTGCTATGACTGATCCAAAGTCCAATGCGTGCGCGTGCATGGCCATGCGTGGCCACCACTCTCGCAAGCTTCTAGTAACAAGGCACCTTACTAATTAATTACTAGTAACAAGAAGCTACTAGTAGCTCCTGGCATTACTACTAGTAGCAAGGACGCTACTAGCGTAGCTATTTGCTACTAGTAGTAGTGCCAGGAGCTGAGGTCCTTTTGAAGTCCCTGCCAGCTCTGGGGGCCATGCGACGTTCACGTCGCCAGGGAGGCGGGCGCACTGCGCGCACCGCTCACCTTCGAGTCAGGTTAGATAGGAGACCCAAACAAAGGATTCTTGAACAAAGCTGCAGGCTACTCCCTGCTCCAAGAAAAAGAGCCTGTCCAGACCCGTTTTCCACTGCCACGTTGGTACCAAGTGTATCCAACTGTACCTAACCATGTTGTTGGTGGTTCTTGAGCAAGCTGCAAGTTCACTCACACAGCGCTGTTTATCGAGTAGAAACACTCATCCCCAAAAGCCAAGGTTCATCTGGCAGAACAATCCTCTTCCACCCCTGGGGTTCAGGCAGTTTCTCTTGAATCCACCCATCCCACAAAAGACCAAACACCCTTCAGATGTGCTTGAACGTCGATCCGTCTAGCCATGTTTCCCACGCTCGACCCGAAGACACTTCACCAAATGGATCCACCAGAGCTTCGATTTCACCCTTCGCAGGATGAATCTTTCGAGGTGAGTGGACCACACTCCGAACACGGGTGTAGGGATCGAGCGGATGTTGAACGAATTCAGCCAACAGATCAAATGGCATTTAGTTGGCTGAATCATTTGATGAATCAAGAGAATTAAGAGTCTATGAGGGCCGTGACCTGGAGAAAATAACGCACACACACACACACATATGGCATTGGATGCCGCATGATGCCGCGCCCCTTTTTCTTCAGACATTTCTTCGGGCAAAGACCATGGGGATGATTAGGATTGGGCTTGCCAGCTCCACTGACAGTGCTCCGACTCGCGTCAAAATTCCGGGTCGTTTTCTCGGCCCGGAGACACCAGATCACTGCGACGAGAAAAAAATAAGAAATTCGTAGTCCAAAGCAAAATTATCACAGGTGTTGGCAGTCATGATATCCCTTGAGTTTCAGCTATTCGCATGTAGTCTGCAAGCGCCGTAGGCCACAGGCCTGACTACTCAAAACTCCATCTTGAATCTCGGATTCTCAAAAGTCCAGACCTACCAGAAACCAGCCAGCATGAAATCCCTCACAGACTGAACCTCTCTGACTAGGCTGATGGAAGGAACCTATACCGCCTAATTTGCAAAGTCATCACCCGCACCACAACAATCTCGTCCGACCTCGGACCTGTGCTGAACACTTGGTCAAAGGTCTGGCACCATTTTTTGACTTCTAGAGATTGTTGATGGTCCCAAAGCATTGGGATGGCATTCTCCCCTCAAGCTCCCCAGAAAAGCGGAGCTGCGAACGGTCCTTCCTGACGGAACCCGAGACATCTAAACGATCTGAGCGACTCAGGTGATCCGACGAGACCCCGGCGGCGCCAAAAACACAGCGGGCAGAACTGACGCCGGACTGTTCACCACAGACAGGTTCGGACTGATTGGGGCAACCCATTCTTGGACTGTGGCTCTGGATTGGTGATGAGACTCATCTCTCATATTTATATAGCGATGTGACTCATAGCTCTGAATGATGCCAGAATTGAATATCAACCGCATGGGGAATATGACCTGTAGGCCTGTACTGTTTCGGAATCGATCTTGGGTAGATGCTTTCAAAGCCTGCCTTGCCTGTCTCCAAAGAAGGATGTTCCATGCAAAGCTGACCATGTCATGCCATACTATGCTCACAGACGTTGGTGAATGGCAAAAAAAAACGAGAGATGGCAATCATTTCGGGAGTCTTGTTTTGCATGGTCCTTTGCTCTCCATCTTGCGTGCTGCCTGCTACTAGGAAAAGGTGTCTTTCCATGCGGAAAAGTGAGCATGCCTCGAAAATCTTGCAACATCAACTCAACCTGGCTCTTGGCCTTCTATACCGGAGTCTACAGGATTCTCCGAGCCATATGCGGGAAAAAAACATCCAATGCTGTTTGCGCGCATAGGCGCGCATCCTATGCTTCTCTCAGAAGTGATGGTGGTAGATCATCTGCTCGTAAGTGGGGTAGGGGTAGAGGCTGGATTCCATGACCTGAGATGAGACTCGTTCGGCCTCCAAAAACCTTCAGAGTTGCTACAAAAATGATGTATCAACTGAATCAACTGTCAATGTAATTACATATATCAATATCAATCATAAGGCGTGGCCACTCTTCTCAGGATTGCATTTCTTGTTGGCTTTCCTTCAATCTGTTGCTTGAAACACCTGTAAGGGGTGCACTTCTGAGGAGCGGGGAGGGTGGTCGAACGCACTCCCCGCTTCGCCATGTCCCGAGATCACTCAGCGGTTACGAGTTCATGGAAGAACCGCTGAGAAGAGAACCTGGTTTTGTTCCCGCAGTGGAAGACTGTCAGGCTCGGACGAGTAGTATTAGAAGAATTGTGCTTGGAAGAGTAGACTTGTTGTCCTCCCACATAGCACTCGTGAGTGAAGAATCAATTAGATGAACATTACGTTCCTCTCACTGCTTGGGGATTAGCTATGTCAGCGAAGTCCCCCCCCCACGTCCTTCTTCAGCCCATCCGTCTACCCGCCACCCGCCGGCGCTGACTCCATAGCAGCAACCCGTCTACCCCCCTGGTCCAGCCAACAACGTCCGCCAAGAGGCGCCCTCCGCCTTGTCCACAGCAGCCCTCAAGGCCGCCATTTGTGGTTTGATGCTGTCACAGAGATAGGTGGCCTCTTCCGACAAGGAGCTATGCCTCGCGACGACAATCGCGGACCAGTGGTGACAGAAAGTTGCTTTCTCGTAGCCAGTTGGTGATCGATATCGGGAGTGGATTCAGAAGATCTGAAATACTAAAAAGAACCACCCGAAGCAAAAAATGCCCCGCCCACGCTTGAGCATTCTATATATAATGCTTGTGCTTATGCACTTTGTGAACATCCAAATGGGCCACCAACGGAAGGCACTGGTCGGTGCAGTGGCAGGGTCTTTGTGATCTCTCTCATGGGACCGTGGTGTTGCACCCCGCGTCGATCGCTGGACACGTCCAGGTCTGTTTTTCCGAGGGAGAGGTCTAGTAGTGGGTTTCATCGGACTCTCTCAGAGAATCAGTGTTCTTGGACCCCCCAAAGGACTAAGTGGTGAACTCTGGAACTCCGCCTCGTTCCATCGCGAAGCAACGAACGGCTCCGTCGTTTGATGTGACTCCAAAGTCAGTTTCCAAAGCTTCTGATCATCCAGAAAGGCTGTCTGTGGGTATACAGAAAAAGACTTGAAAAGGTCTTGAATATACTCAAAGGCTCATTAAACCCTCACAGCTAGGGTTTTGACCCTCACAACTATATCAAACTCCTCCCACCGGATGGGGGGGGTTAAAAGATGGGAGGGTGAAGCTTGAGCGGCAAACACATCGGTCGCGGATACTGTCATCTGCTCAGGATGTGTGCTTGCCTCTTTTCCACCTGCGTGTGCATGAATACACTGCCTGTGTCTGATCTTCAGATCTGCCAGGCTGGATATCAAACTCCCGTACTCCCCGTCACTTGCAAGCTTCTTTCCGGTGGGAGGAAAACAACAAGTACCACACTGCTGTAGGAACTGAAGCATTCTTGAAACTTTTGGCCAACTTTAAAGTGTGCACGAAACAAGCTGCCACTGCCAGAATGTTTTCTCTGCGGCTCTTCTCCAGTCTTGCTAGAAAGGATACTGAAGCAACCTCCTGAATATAGATGGACATTATGCGGTATGATGCCCACCGACCTCGCCGCTGAACGAGGTCTCCCGATTCAGTAGTTTGCAACAGATACGTGGCCCCGCCTGGCCTCAGCGAGGCGAGATCCAGAGGCCGCATTCCATCCAGGAAACCAGTCGGCAGCGACAGGGCACCACATACTGCTTTGAAGCGACTCCTCAGCGTCTGTGGACTCATGTCCCATAGCTTTTCCGACGGCTTTAACGTGCTGAAAGCTAGTTCGCACACATCGATCAAGTCCGGGAGGTCAACCTTGGAGGCTTGGTGCCTCGCTGTGCTAAAACGAGTCTTCGGTTCTGGGATCGACAAGAGTAGGAAGGGCGTAGTTCCGCCAAGGTCAGAAGGCCACTGAAGGTCCTGACGGCAAGCCTGGAGGAGCTCTCCTGCGCGGAGGAGCCCTCCCCAGGCTAGTGCAAAACAGCCTGCTGCCCTCACCCATCCCCATGTCAGGCAGCATGTGATAACTGCGAGAAGGACTTGTGGCGGCATCGCCGTATGGTGAACTGCAGGTTCAGTTTTGACCCAGGCGTAGGCCACATCCCACGCACCCTGTAGGGTGCGCCTCAGCTGAGGCTTCCAGCTCCCCAGAGCGTTAATTGTCTCGCTGTAGTGGGCCAGTGGCCTCCCAGTCTTGTAAAGGTCGCGCCCGTACATGGACAAAAATGTGTTGATCTCCTCTATGTTGTGGTATGCATTTGCAAACAGATCAGAGGCCTGAACCCCTTTGGAACTCAGCCAGACCCTGAACTCTTCCAAAAGTTTTGTCCTCTGCTTCTCCGTGGTACCCAAAACAGGTCGTCCCTGCGGCAAAGGTCCCCTTTGGGCTCTAATCTTTGCTCTCGACAGATCACCAGGGTTTCGGGGCTGCAGCGGGGTAGCCATGGCTTTAACTAGAAAAATGGCTGCAAAAGTCCACGAATGCACGGCATTGCCCGGCCCGATCGAGGAGAAGAGATGAGGAAAGCAGCATAGGAAGAGAAGAGCAAAAGGTCCTTCTCCAGGGTATCCTAAGGTCTGGTCAAAATCCAACACGTGCTCGAGGCCCGGTCTCTTCGCAGGCACTAAAGCGGAGAAGGGTCGCCTAAACACACTTTTGTCACCGAATGAAAAGACCTCCTTGCCTATCAACAGGCACATGAGCCTGACCCAGTTCGCGGCCCATCTCCTAAGGCCCTTGCTCTGTGCCACCAGCTGCAGGTCGCTGATGCTAAGGCCCGAACAAATCTGTCTGCTCACGGGCTCTCTGACCCTAACGTCTCGTGTTGGGTCGTCCGATGCGTTCAAGCGGGTCGGACAAAAGGGCAGGCAAAAGTACAACCCTGCAGAAACAGAATCGAGCCGAATTTCGAGATGACAGGCGTGAGGCCCCGGGAAGACGATCTGCCCTTTGACAAGGCGCACCTTACCACGTTCGAGTCCACTAGGTTCACGACTCGAATGGGTTTCTTTTCTTTGGCTAAGCTCTCGGCCAACTTCAGCACTGATATGGACTCTTGGATATTTATGTGCGAAGGCTTTTTAAAAGTCCACACTTTGTCGACCTTCCAGGAAGACTCCTGTGCAACGGCATTGACAAGCACATTTTCTAGGCCTGCCACTTTGATGCTATCGAACTCTTCTGCCCTTGAGCGTTGATGGAGCATTGCATCGATCAGTAGCTCTGCAAGCGCGACTGCTAACAGATCCGTGTAAATGGCACTGCTCTTCGTGAACTTTCCTTCAACAACGACATGTTTCCCTAAGCAGGCACATCTCTTGCGCACCTTGTGCAGTGGGGCCAAAACACTGAGGAAAGCAAAGCTCTTCAGGTGTTCCGATCCAAAACAACAAGAGTCTGTTCTGCAGAAGTCTGTTTCAGGCTTGTTTCTCAGTGCTATATACGGAGGCAAAAACTTGAGTTTTGAGGAGTAAGGGGTCTCTAACCAGCCCGGCACCTCGAACCGTCTTCCCAGTTCCATGCACTGCAACCCCCTTAGCGCGAGCGAGTTGCCGGTAGCGGTCTGTGCATGAAGGGGATCGAATCCATATGGTTGATCTTTGGACCTGAGGGCAGGTCGCCGCATAACCGAAAAGGTGGTGCATGGCGGCTCGACCGCGAAACTCTCAATCAAGTGCTCAGTTATCAAATAGGAGAGCCAGGACATGACATGGGGCATGCTAACGTCATATTCGGGGCTAAAGGTCAAGTCTATGGGGGGGACCTACCGACCATCCCCTCTCAGACATGGCAGCCGTGATTTTGGCCGAACCTGCGAAGATCTCAATAAAGGAAAATCTATAAGCAAGCGGCCGTCGGGTATGTTGGAAAGACTGCCAGTCGTGGTCTTCGGCAGGCTCTTCTATCTCTTGGCGCTTCCGAATCTCAACCTCAACCGGAGACAAGAGCCTGGAATAGGCCCCTTTGCTCTTGCAAGTCTTCCACAAGACTTCACTCATGTCAAGACTGCATGGAGCAGAGCAAATGGCTCCTTTCTGAGATGAGGAGTCTGTGCAGTACACTCTGTTGATAAACCCCGCACTTAGTTCGGTGACAGCGAAAGGCATGAGCACTGACACCAAAACAAGCTCGTTTGCAGCCCCCCCTTGTGAGAGGGATCATCTTAGGCGCCGCCGGGTCCAGCGTCGCCAGGTCTGTCATACTGAAGACCTTGGAGAAACAGCTCATGAGGGGACGTCTGAACATGAGGGCCGAGATCCACCCTCCTAGGAGGCATGAGTGCAGAGCATCAGTGGTGTGGGATAGGGAAGCGAGTCTAAGGCTTATTAGTGACATTGCCAACCTTTTCTCTATCGGTGCTCCAAGCAAGATCATGTCTCTCTTCCTAGCTTCTAGCGACGAATTGACAACTGCTCCTACAACTTTTGCTTTATCGGATAAAACGTCTTTTTCCGGGCTGCCTAGAATTCCATGTTCCTCATAAACCCTGAGGGCTCTCTGGATTTTGAGGGCAGCACGAGACTTGGCGATCTCCGTCGGCAAAGCTTCAACGCTCAGTGCAAAATAATCGTCTATGCAAAGACCCTCGGCATCTAGTTTTGCTTCAATCGGACGGGAGCCTCGGACCCTACAGGACTCGTGAAGGAGGCCATAACTTTCAAGGAGTGAGGCATGAGCACATGTCGCAATGTCAACGCCTGCGTGGTCCCCTTGAAGGACCGACTTGAAGCACACAAACAAAAACTGCGGGGCCTTCTGCGCTCGTCTGGAACCCCGCCATCCGAGCCTATCTCCATGAAGGCTCCTCTGGTACCTGAGTCGAGCAGCTCTCGAGACAAACTCTGCATAAGCATGAGTGCCCTCAAGATCCCTAGCAGGCACGGGGGGGTCCTACGGTGTTGGACCGGGATCTACTTTCCGTTGCATGGAACTGGTGGTAAAAGTCCTTCCTATCAGTGATGCCGATTGCTATGTAATGGGTCTTAGGATTACAATATATGTCTACCAGGTCGAAACCGCAAGGCAAGTCGATACTAGGTCCGCGTACTCTGCACTCACAACTGTTTCTGGCACGACGGTCTCCGATTTGCCTGTCGGCGAGTTGGTTCTTGTAGGCATTAAAGATCCTTGTTCGACAGTCAGGCTCTTGATCCAAATCAAAGCCACCATGGAGAAAAAGCAGCCCATTCTTGTCCCACAGTAATGCCAGCTTCGTGACTTCCTGTTCGGGATCGTTTGTGGCAGGCCACGAGTCTTCCCCATAGTCATCTGCTTCGAAGAGGAGGGAGCGGGGCTCCCGGTAGGCCAGGATCAGTTCGTCATCTAGGTAGGGGGACGCGTCAAAGTGTCCTGTTCCCTTCAAAATAAGACGGCTGGCATCCAAGCTCCGATATGGCCTGAGCTCCTCTCTATCGTTCACTATTGGCACATCGTATCCTGGGAAGCTTCTGTCATATGGGTTGCATGATGGCCCATGGAAAGTCAGGGCTTCAGACAACTCACCAAGTCTTGCAACTAATTGTGGAAGCCTACGACCCGAGCTCACTAAAGTCTGAAAGTGAGCTAGGCCCTCCGACCGAATAAGGCGTCTGATTCTCGAGTACAGGCACTGATGAACAGGAGAAGGCGCCCTCCCAAGAGATCCAATGTCCAGGCGACCACTGTAATGCCAAGCATTGAGGGCAAGCACCACAATGTGGACCACTCTGTTCAGATGGATCCTCCGTCTCTTATCTGCAGACAGGTCATGGGGCATCCGTGTGAACCACTCACCTGGCGGGAGTGGCACCGGGAAAACGGTCGGTACCGTGTCAGGGACACGTGGCAGGTGGAATGTCTGTGCCAGTAAGGCTGCGAAAGGAGTCCTCGTACGCAGCACCAATGTCGTCAGCTGAGCACACCATTTCGGAAGGCTGTAGCTGGTCGTCTCAAAATCTGCAATGAATTGGTCTTCATGGATCCTCTGATGACCATTTCTATTGAAAGAGTCCGCAGGAGGTGTACTGTACTTCTGCCCTACCGAACCTCCTGATGTCTCTCTCAACCCATGGTCGGCATGCTGCCTGAGTGAATTCTCTGAGCGCCCTGTGTCCAAGCCACCTTGAAACCTGCTTGAGGCGCAGGGCTCATAGCTCCTCATGCTTGCTGCTGGTTCGGGGGTCCCCCCTTCGGCTTCTTCGGGAAGCGCGGCTTGCGCTTGGGAGAGGCCTCGCCCCCGGGATCTCCCGTGGACGGGGAAGCTTGACCTGTCTTCTTCTTCGTCTCTTGCTTCCTTGAGCTCATGATGTCTATGTCCTTCAGGAAAGCCAGCAGCACTGCCCCCCCATGCTGAGGGCATGAGGGGAGAGAAGGGCTTCGCCAACGTTGTGTTGCTGCTCCTTTCCATGAAGATCTGAGCAGGGGGGGTCCTCGACCAAACTCACCAGAAAGGCGGTGTCCCAGTTCTGGTCCAGGGCTGCCTGGTCCAGTGCTGTCACAAACAATGCGAGATGCTCTTTCACACCATCGAAGTCTTGAGCAATTGCTGCATCGACAATGTACCCAACGATCCACAAAATCGTCCCCAGTTCCTTGCTCTGTTTGAAGGCTCCGTATCGCTCCAGGTAGGCCAGGAACGAGAGGCCTGAATCCCTTGCCATCTCTGAGGATGTCGGGACCTGTCGAGATGGGTACATCCTCCTTGAGACCTGTTGCAGGAACGCCAGCCAGTATTGGCTCTGACGGAGTGCCAGGTCTGACTGCATCCTCTCTCGCCTTGCGACGCCTCTTGTAGTAGACGCTGTTCCCAAACCAGGACCTGCTGTGTGAAGGTCTGCCAGAGGATCGCTTGCATTGCCTGCCAGGTGCGCTACAAGCGACGTGATCGCTGTGCTCTGCTGTGCCAAGGCTGCCAGCATGGGATCTGCATTTCCCAAATCCAGGGGGTCCTTTGGCTCGTCCACCTCCACCAGAGCCGTCGCCTTCGCAGCTGCTCTTGTCTTGGGCGGCGGGCCCACCAACTCCGCAGCCGTCTTCACGAATGCGGCCTTCGGCCCTGGCCAGGCCTCCAAGCTGTGGGCCAATGGGGCCATTCGGGGAAAAGCCCTCTGCCCTAGCCCAGCGGGTGCTTCTAAGGCAGGGGCGACAGAGGGGGTATACGACAAATCTCTGGCCGCTGCCTGTGTCTGCATGGCTGACAAAGCTTGAACCTGGCTGGCTAATGCTGCTACCTGCTCCGCAAGTATTGCGTTTGTGATCTTCTTTGGGGCTGCCTTCTTTGCCGCTGCTTTCTGCTTTGCTGGTGTCTGCACTGCTTCTTGCTCTTCTCGAGCAGAATAAAAATTTGTTCTGCCACCCTGCACTCCCGACAATGTCCACTCCTTTGCAGCTGTCACCAATGTTGAGGTGAGAGGCAAGGCCGAGGGTGTTTCATCGTCAAAAGGGCATATATCTTCCCCCGCATCTCCGGCAGGGTCATATTCTTTTACATACTCCAAGAAGCTGTCCAGCACGTCCACGATCAAAACTTCGATTGGGAAAGAATCCACGGGAACTACCTCCCCAGACTCATTTTCTTCCACAAGAGAGGCTCCGGTCACAAAGGAAGGGCCTAACAATGCTAGCTCAGACTCTTGTTGACCTAACTCCAAGGCACTGTCATCAAATGTGGCAGCGGGAACGGCAAGGAGCAGGCCCCCCCTCTCTCGAGAGAATGGGCAATCCGAAAACAATCTTTGATTCTCCCCCTGCACTAAGCTCTGGAGGCACATGCACAACAAGGAGGCTGGGTTCACCTGCCTCCCCAAACCTTAGTTGGTGTTTCTGCATTGCTTCAGAGCCGGGATGTCGATCCTGGCTCCCAGGCAAAACACTTGCAGCTCTACGAACGATGGAAACTCCTCGATGATGGCTCGTGAATCGACTCTTGCTAAGGCCTGAACTGCCTGCCTACGGGATGCGGTCCGAATCGGCTCGACAAGTCCTGCTCCCCTCAACACAATCCAGTGGGTGGACTTCAGGTGCACTACCGGTCCCGCCTGGCGATAGTCGGAACTGAGGCTAAGCGCTGTCCACGCTTGATGGCCGCTCTCAAAAGCTCTGCGGACCCTCGACTCTACCGGCACACTAGCCGAACGAAGCCTGGTGCTACAGAGATCCAAAATGTTCTGGGGCACCGGCGGAGCGCTGTCACCGGGTCTGACCTGAGATGCTCCTGGGTACGCCTCTGTGGCGTCACTCTGGCCGAATGGGGGAGCGGACTCCTCCACCACTTCCCACTCTACCTGCTCTATGAAACCCTCGCTCTCTGCCCAGGCGTCCAACTGCGAACTCAAGGCCTGGACTCTAGTAGCTAAGGCCGAGATCTCTGCCGAAATGAAGGCTAGCTCTAAACGTACAGCTTCTAGAGATGGCCTAGTGCTCATGTACGTAGCCGCTCAAGCGGCGGGAGATGGTTCGGACAGTAGGGACTCTGTGGAGGTCCGGAGCAGGGCCAGGAAAATGCTGCAGCAGGAAGAAGAAGGCACAACAACAGAGGGGGGATGGCCAGGCAAATCCCACTCAGGAGGCCGATCAGGTAAGGGCCTATCACGGAAGGAGAGCAATGGGCCGGGCAAGCGAAAAGGTGCGAGGCCTGCAACAAGGCGGATGCACCTGCGAGAAACCTATCCATGAAGCTTGAGCGGCAAACACATCGGTCGCGGATACTGTCAGATGTAGCAGTTTGAGGGTCCATGAGCCTCGGGGTATGTGTATATTACTGTATATTGTAGTACAGTATATTAAAAATATGAATCTAAATACATTGAATAGAACACCTCGTGAGCTCCATCCTGTGATTCTCATGTCCAAGATCAAACAAAAGAGTGAAACCCCTGGATGATGTTGGTCCCGAATGAACACCTTGCCATCCAAGACGTGTTGAACCTGCTCAAAAAGAGAGGCAAACAGCTTCCGTGTGATGGATCATTGATGACTATGAGTGACAGAACATCATGAAATATTATTCATGATAATGGGTTGCCGTGGAACAATGTGGAACATAGGTGTCTACTTTCTACGAGATAAAACGTTCCTTCCCTGCTGCTTCTACAGACTGGGGGAGAATCGAAATACCGCGCCCAACATAAAACCTTGTCCAGAGATGAACAAGGACCATAGATGATCTAAAGCACCCTTTCTAGATCATTGCGACGTGAAGAACATTCAGGTTCTTCTCTTCGTCGGGCGTTTTTTGAGCTCCTAGCATCAACCCCTCCTTGAGAAATCCACCGCTTGGGCGCTTGGCCGCCCGAATCACCGCTTGGCGCCGCCATGGCACGGCTTCTTCTCGAAGGCCGCCTTAAGCTTCTCCAGCTGGTCGATGATGCTGTCATAGATCGCCTACGTGAGGATTCAAAAGGGAGATCCAGGATCAAGCTACGACTGTAGGACCTAGTAGGATGTTGGATTACCAAATAGCTAGCGCCTTCCGTGTCCCTGGTGACCCTGGTCCGCACAATTCGTGGGAGCTTCAATCTGCAAAGATGGATGTGATTTGATCTCCAAGAAATCAAATCACGAAGATCACAAGGCGAGATCCGGAGTATCGCCCGTCCAAAATAACAAGCAATCCGATGAACATGGGTCGTAGTTGTAGTTAGGCAATCCCCCAAAATTCTCCCGAATCACTGTTTTTAAGGCTGTGTCCGAACAAATCCAACTCTCCTTCCGGTTGCCAGCCAGCTTTTCCACTCCCTTGTACTTCTCCAGATCCTGGCTGTGTGACAGCAAGCCATCGAGCAAAGCGGCGCCTAAGTGGAGCTTGGTCATATAATATACAGTAATCTGTTTCATCATAGTGTTCCATCTTTCACCATTCAGCAACTTTAGTAGGATTGTCCAGTTTCTAGTCATGTCATGTCATGCCATCCCTGGATCCAACAATGTCTTCTCTTGGAAAGGGGATGGATGAACCGAAACAACTGTGATCTCACAAGTCTGACAAGTAATCATGCCTTGCCAACACTCATGCCTGCACCTGTCAGGAGTTCCGGAGTCAAGCGGCAGGTGGCAAAATCATAGGCTTTCAAAGGGATGTGAACATTCAAAGGTGCAACTCGAACGTCTCAAACAAGCAAGTGCGCGCTGGCCCACCACACCAAGTGCAGGCCAAACGACGCTGGCCTTCATCCAAGTCACGGAGAATCTGCGGCCGTCCGCGTTGGCCAACGAGCCAGGTCAAATGTCAATTGTGAGAAGAGCACAGGAAAAAATGAAAACTGGCGCATGCTAAGCCAAGAATAGCTGGGAGTACGAGAGAGGAGGACGATTGTGATAAACTGTGGAATCAACTGTAGCTTTGACCTTCGCCACAGCCATCTCAGAGTGAATGGCCTCCCCTCCCTGCACGACCAGCCCCATGTGTGTCCAGACTGGCAGTTGAGAGTGCAAGTGCCTGTGACAAACGGGAGCACCCCCAGCAAGCACTTTAGCCCATTTGTCTTGCTGTCATACGCATGCAAAGCTGCACACGCGTTGGCCCCAGAGGTGCAACTCGCGTTTAGAACGCTGCGCTGGACGTGCAAGCCCCACACACGGCCAACTGTGTGAGGGAATGCCACTCTCTGAACATGGACGTTGACGGCCAGAAAAGGGACACCAACCATGAGCCCCTTTTCTAGAACCAGTCGTTCAGTCCACAAGCAGAGAGCACATCCCCTTGGGTAGGGCAGTGACGCAAAGCGGCGACATGACGAGCTGCTCCGAATGCATCGCGACGCACCGCACGACGAGGCGCCGCAAGAGCCGAGGGTTTCACCCTGGAAAAGGCAAGTCTCGAGAGCGCCCCAAACCGTGCGAAATGTGTTGGTGTTTTTGGAATGCTTTTGGAGCGGTTTAGGGTTTAGGTTTTTGTGGGATCCCATCTCCAAATAGGTGAATGAAACTTTAAAGACCCATATTTGGGGAGGACCCCTTTGCTTGCACCAGTATTTTTTCTCAGCCAGGTTTGCCCAACTTTAGATGACAAGAAGTGCCGGGTACCCTGTCACCTAGAGTCACGTATCTCCTTGGCGCATGCAGGCAAAAAGCCCGTCTCCGTCATTTGAATCATGGTCTCCACCTGCAACAATGTTCAGCCAACTTCTTCCAGCCAAAGAATCACACCTCCCTTACATCCACTTAAACATCCAACGAAATCCAACGCATGCTTTTGCCGTGGAAAAAAAACGGAAAAAGGGTTCCAAAGTGTCTTTGAGGGTCTTCGGCTAAAAATGACTCTCTGTGTTGGTTCCTGGTGTTTGTCCGAGCATTTCTGGAAGCCTGCAAAATGGGTTCCCCCAAAAAGATGGGACCTCAAATGGAGCTGGTCGGAGGAGTGAAGCTCCCCTTCAGGCACCAATCCTCCAGCGGCGCCTCGCAGCAGAGAGCTGAAATGTAGTTCTCCTTAAGCCGATCGAATCCACCGAAGTGGCCGCGGTGAACTCAGTGGCAGCGCCGCCACCGGGCCAACTCAGTGGCAGCGCGCGCAAGTACTGAATTCTGCCCGCTGCGCAACGGATTCTGTATTGCGACCGATTCGTGTTTTGCCTGAGTCACGGAGCAAGAATCCCACGTTGCTAGTTGGATGTGGAGTGGGCTCTTCTGGGCAGTGGGACCAAATGCGGAACTGGGACCAAAGTGGTTGTGGAAAAGGAAAACAACAAGAAAGAACAATAAGTCTTTTCCTTGTGAGTTTCTTTTGCCCGTCTACTTTGTGGTGTCCCCATGAGGTTGGAGGCCGAGGTTGTGGAGACACATCCATGTTGCGGCGCACGCTCGTCAAGCTGATCCAAAGAGGCCCAAAGCGCGCTGTTCAGAGGTCGAAGGGAAATGAAAGGGAAGAACTAACCCAAGTTAAGTTGGTTGGTGTGTTATAAACACTGTAGATAGTTGCAATATGTTGAAACAAGCATCCATAGGCTATCATAGGCTATATTTTTCTGCCAAGGCTCATACATCACCTCCTGACGTGCTTCGGTCTCCTCCGCTGTGTAGATCTTCAGAGTCTCGAAGAGCCTGGGTGAACAAGACCAGATTTGTTGGTTTATCAAATGATTGAATTGATCACACCCAAGCTTAGCTCTGACTCTGCCTTTTCATGTTGAAGGATGCATGAATTCATTGCGGAGAGGAATTACTACGGTCATGTCTATGTCATGTCTCACTAAACAAGCGTATACTACTCATTAGTAACAAGAAGCCATAACAAGAAGCTACTAGTAGCTAAGTGCATCGCTACTAGGAACAAGGGCATTGCTATTAGTAGCTAGAAGTTCGCTACTATATAGTAGCTTCTTGCTACTAGTAGCTGGAGGAGAGTCTGAGGGTCGTTATCATCATCTTGAGCTGGGGCCATCTTTCAGACTTTAGAGAGCGGCTCCACTTCGACCTCGATCTCTAGCCGCTAGCCAAGCCCAGCAGCTTCTTGTTCTTCTCAGAATTCCAGGTGGCCACTGCTTTCCTCGGTGAAACAAAAGGAAAATCCGGCTCGAAGGATTGATGATGTCCTACTGGGGCCGTACACGTTCATGATCATGCACGGGGGTTGCCCCGCTGAGTATCTGTAGGGTAGATAGAATCTCATGCATTGAAGCTCAGACCATCAGATTCCCAGACAACACCACTTTAGACTAGTGGAGGACAAGGGATGCAGGATGCAAGTGCAAAGACAGGGTTATAGCATGGGATGAGAAGGCAAGGTCATGCAAAGGGAGTAGACGTGTCACACTTCGACTACGTTTGGTTGTGTCAACAGTGAACAGCAGCACATCCAGAGCAAGTGAAGCACCCTTGAAGCATCTCCTGTATGGTGTTCAAAGGACCTTGACAAATAACTGTGATCGATCACATCTTGATTTGTTAGTGGAAGATGTATCATCGGCACTGCAGTGAGACATTTCTCCCTATCCGCCTGGTCCAAGAACCAGACCGTCGTTGGACACGAAAACCACGCTTCTTCCAGGCCAGGTGCGGGGTGGTGTTCAGGTTGGGCAGGCCACGCTTTTGGGCCTCCACGGGCCACTCGGCGGAGTAGCCGTTCCCCGTAAAGATCACATGCTTGTTCTCCTGGAAAAAAAATGGAACTGGAGCGATTTGGAGATCGAACCTGGAACAGGGCCGGCCGAAGTTCCTCCAATAACAATGCCAATAAACTCTGAAGAGCTCTCTGTTCTTCTTTTGTTATGGTTTACAGTGTACAAATACGAAATATGTATAAATACAGTAGATTTACATGATAAATCATGATAATATGTTTTTCCTATGGATTCTTCATCGGACACGTTTCTACATTCTCGTCCAGGGTGGCACTACTACAAACTCTTCCCCAACCTTGAAGAGCTGGCAATGATCCCCATGAACACATCCACCACGATGTCAGCAGTGCCAACACAAATCATGAAAATTCCCAGCCACCTCAACCCCGCCTTTACCCGCTTTTGTTCATCTTTTGTCCCAACACACCCCGCGCGCCCGTCTAGTCCTGGAAGACTTTGGCCACGGCGTCACGGTGGCTCATGCCACCCTCGACGAGCCCAGCCAGATGGGCCATGCCCGCAGACATCACCGCATTGCAGACCATGACCTCGGGAAGGTGCATGAGGTGAAGAGCCCACTGGCAACCTGATTTGAAGGACCGCCTGAAGAGGGTGTTCTTCAGGGTTTCAGCACATGCGATCATGCTGCAGATGCTTCTGGGGAGAATGTGGAGACCTGCTTGTCGTGTTCTCTAAACGACAAACACCTCAGCGAGTGAATCTTCAGCTACGTTTCCACAACAACTGATGATTTGCCCGGATGCACCGTTTCTTTGAAGCCTCCCCATTTTGATATGCTTCCGATGAGGTTTTGGCACATCAAACATTACCTCCATCGGAACCACTGAAGCCAGGTCACGGGCAGGCAGCAGTTCCTGAAAGCGAGGCGAGGGAATCACGGAAGTGTCGGTCCATCCTGTTTCCATACAGCAAATGGGCCCTTCGCTTTGATGGCTATCTGGCCAGCTGGATTCTCTTTGGTTCCCTTCCTTCCAGAGAATTCCTCCACCCAAAGGTCTCACAAGTACATATTCCTTCCTTCCTCCCGAGTCCCAGTGTCTGAGAGGAGCCCACAGCTCGGAACTCGAAGCGGTTGCCGCAGAAGGGGAAGGGCGCAGTGCGGTTGCCTGAGGGCACAGGAAAGAGACTCTGAGACCACGAAGCTTACGAAATCCGCTTTTCTTTTGGGCCACGAAATCCGAGACGCAATGCCCGAGCATATCAAGGGGAGATGACCCACAGCCATGAGGCTGGTCCATCTTTGGGCAGTGTGTGACCATGGAAAGTCCAAATGAAATTTAACATCCTTGAATTGATATCTATACAAAAAAAAACACAAAACACTTGAAACGTATCCTTTCCTCACCACACCTTCCGGGTACTTCATGGTACTTCACCTTCGCCGCCCGTATATGTTTTTTCGGGGCCGTTGAAGCGTCCCTCAAATCGGCGATTCGCCTGGGGGTGGTCGCTGGTTCAATCGTCTGAATCGACTGTGGAATGCTGTGACTCAGTGGTCATCGTGTTTGAAATGTTCGATGACCAGCAATCTATGACTCAGTTTGATCATTTACTTTAAATGTTCCATGCTGTTATCATCTCTGATCATCTCTTATCTATGGATCAACGGCTGCGGCTCGGGCTAGCTTCGCAGGTAAAAAGACTGGTAGAACTGAGGCCACTCAAAGAACATGACCATAGTCGGGGACTCAAGTTGTAGCTCTTGACGGGATTGCTTTCCCTTGCCACAACTCTACAGTGTGCACCAGTGCAGAAAGCTCCAAGCCACTCAACCTGCAAGCGAGCTGTCCAAAACCTTGTAGAAGACCCTTTCGACTGGCTGGTGAATAGAAAAGGGATAGGTGGACCATTGAAAGACCTACCCGCCCAACCATGGAGTTTGCGACTGTTTTGATTGGAATAGTTTATATAGTGTGTATATATATATATTATATATAATTACACTCCCAAACCAACAGTTAGCCCAAGCACACTGGAGAGTCCTGTTCCAGACCTTCTCTTCGCCCTCGGGCCGTCGGGTCAGTCCAAGAGGCGGTCTTCCACGTTCGCCTCGATGTGCATGGCAGCGCTGCATCCAGTCTCTTGCTTCTTCTTCTCGGCCTTGTAGCCTCAAACGGAGTGAGAAACCATGAGAAACCGAAGTGCACACACTCTAAAGTGCCTTGTGAAGGCACACACACTCTGCACTCTGCCAAATCAACCGGAAACACCAACAAAGAGTCAAATATCATGCAGGACTCGCTTAGATCACCGGATCTCTTAGAACCCCAAAGCCCAAAGTGCAAAAACACCCTCCTTTCGGCTCCAACCACGGCACCCCCCCGAAATCGATCCGATTCAGATTCGATGATCAGTGGCCCGACGCATCTGACCAAGAGGCCCAGCAAATCCCCGCCCTTCACGATGCTCTCCACGAACTGCTCGAAGCCCTGCAACCGACCACGGACCGTGCGACGCCACGGGTCGGACCGGTTTGGGGGGTCGAATGACTTCCCGTTCTGTGAAGAACGTTAACAGGGTTGTCCCAACACCCTCAGATCCAGTGTTTTGAATGAAGCTCTCTGCATCTAGATGCTTAGAAGCTTAGATGAAAATCAATTGTATAGCCGCTAATATAGTCGCTGATCTCCTGGGATGTCTGCATTCAGCCAGTCTGATTTCCCCATGTGGTGGGGAGGCCCATGTTCCACCAAGCCCATCAAAAAAGACTGGTTGCGGGGTAGTAGCAGGTAGTCATGCTTGGTTGGAAACGGCCACACAGCAAGAACACAAAAATGAATGTGTGTATCAATCAAAAATCTGATCTGTTTCGGACACCAGCCATCGAAACCCAAGAGGCTTGGAACTGATACAAAGGAACTCTTGCTTAATTCATCCCCAGGCCGAGATGTTTACTTGCTTGAGGTACCCATGCTGTGAATATCCATTATGACCATGTGATGTTGCAATAAACAACATCCACCAAGCAAATCCCCCTGAACAAAGGATTGCATGTAATAATATGTAATTTTTGTGTGTGTGTGTTTGTGTCAAGTATACGTAATTGTAAATATAGTTACTTTATCGTACTTCCTTCGGTGGAATTGCAGCAAATCCGCAAAACCAAGATGGGCCCGGTAAACACTTCAACAACCTGCGGAGGAAAACAACACATGAAGCAAGGACGCTATTAGATGGAGGCCATCGGCTTCGTAGGTTGGAGGCCATCGCTACTAGGACGCTGCGAAGCTACGAACGTAGCAAGGACGCTATGCTCGGTGGGACCGTTCAAACTCGTTCCCTCGGGTCCGTCCTCCGATCGCGCAGTCATTTGAACCACCTCTTAGGACCGTCGGACACTCTTTCAGCGTCGGCTTCGAAGCAGAAGAGAGGAAACCCGGTGTTTTGGCGTACATGGCACATCCCGCCTGCCCAGGGTACAAACTGATGATGGCAGGGGGAGCCTCCTGCCAGCGGAAGTGCAACAGGTCCTTTTGAGACTCTCTTGGACTTGTTCAGCCTGATTTGTCCGGGTTACCCCGTAAGCGTTGCCCAGTCATCTCGTCCAAACTTAGCTAGTACGACTTAGACCGGAGGGCACCCATGCATACCTGCCCCCAGCAGCCCAGGCAACCTCAGGTCTATCGCAAGCCTTAGATCAGATAGGGAAAATAGCAATGACACCCGGCAATCCTTGTCTACCCTCCCAAAAATTGAAAAGATTGCCCGCAAAAAGACTATCTTCCTCCAGGTTTCGCGAGCCCGCCTTGTCACTGCCTCTTGACTTTCCTCTACCAAGTGGTGTTGTTCCACTTCCGTGTTTGTTTAACAATGTCTCTTCGACCAGAACACTTCATTCCTTGGTTGTACATACATCAGACTCAAGAGGAGCCATGTAGTTCGCCCCATTCTGTCTCAATTGAATGCTGTAGGTGTGAAAGAAGGCGTCAAGTTGGAGCAAATCAGCGGGCTTTGGTCGGAGAAAACGATATGATATAACCATCATTAGTGGCCTCCAAATGTGTCCAAGCTGCTCGGCCCCCCACGTCCACACCGACCCGTCACAAGGTTCGGACTCTCCTGTGCGCCGAGCCGGTGGTCGTTGCCGGAGTGCGCCACGGTGCAGCGCACCATCTCGTTGTACTGTGCCAGGCCATAAGCCTCGGAGGCGTGTGGCTTGGCGGAAAAGGCGTGGCTTTGGTCACACTGCGATCAAAATGAGGGGGCGAGGGTGTAGAGTGGGACACGAGGTGGATTGGTTTAACCCAGTTTGAAATTAGAATGCACAGTCAAACAATTTGCAGGAAGAACCCTGAGAAGCTCTCAGAAGCCAGTGTTACGGCGAGTTGGAAGCATATATTTGTGGATGTCACTCTACGCCAATCTACCCTGCCCAATCCAACCCCCTCTTGGGAATGCAAGTTTTAAAAACATGCAAACACCCTTTTTCGCTCCGTTGCGTCACCAAAACTCGGAATCCGTTTCGTCCAACCCAAAGGCCCTCGGATCGGAGGATCAATCATCTCGAGCAGCCAAGCAGGCAATGGCCGTGACATAGAGCTTGGCACCCGCCTCAGGCAGAGGCGCTGGCGTGCGCCAGATCACATGCAAAAAGAAAAAGAAACATCCGTTTCATGTAAAAAGCAAAGCCAAGTCAATCACCGTGGTGGTGATGATTGGAGAGTATGGCCCTTTGAACTCTTTTGTGTCGGTCCAACACGATTACCCTTCAACGATATTTAGCTGCCCTGACGTTGACCGAACGACTCTCTTTGCCCCAAAAGAAGCCTATCGGAGCTTTCGTAGGGGTGGATATTTTTCCCGGGAATTTTTTTCAAATTTTTTCCGGGAATTTTTTTCCATTTTTTTCCCCTACTGCTTTTGTTTTGTTTTTTTTTTGCTTTGGCTTCTGCTGGGAGTGCTTTCCAAGCACTAGGAGCAGCAGAAAGGGTAGGGGACGAAGCGCCAAAGCCAGCGTGATGGAGAGAAAGGGAGGGAACAGTGGGTTTCACTGGTTTCGGGTTTCTTTAGGCTCGGTTTCTTGTCCTTAGGCGTGCTTTAGGTGTTCTTCCGGTTCCTGGGCTTTGAACAAATATATACGTACGCTACCTTCAACTATTTCATGTAGCACGAAGAGAAAGGGAGAGAGAGAGAGAGAGAAGAAAAACGAAACGAAGGAGAAGGAGCAGTGCAAAAAGTGGAAAGAAAAAGTATAATCTCTTAAGAGTTCTTCGCCCTTCCACATACAGTTTATCCTCGGCTAACACACAAAAGGTATTCCTTGTCGTCTGCACTTTATGGTGGAATATCTTGGCATATCCTTCTTCCTCTAAGCTTTAATGTTGGGAAGCCCATGACAAATGCGCTACGCTGGAACGCGCCTATTTGCAGATCGTACCCCTACACGGAAAAGGTCCTCCCCGGGGCGTGCAAAAGTTACCTCGCTTGGTGTTTAAATGGCCGCCCTTGCAAATCGCTACTGAACGACCAACACGGCCGATTTTGGAGAAGTTTTTTAAATTGAGTTCCAAAAACAACCGCAACTGCTCACCTCTGTCCACCCTGTCTATCCACCATGACACGGCGTGTTTACACCAGCAGGCTTTCCTTCCCCCAATGGCACGGATATCTACGCAAACGCACTTTCCACCAAGGTCACACAAAAACGGCATGGCGCAACGACATCACCTTTCCAAAGCTTTATATAGTTGCTAGTCTAATGAAGCATCACTATTCTAATGAAAGCTTTTGTAGGGGACAAGGAACACCCTTGCATCTGGAGTTTATTGAATTTTGATACGAAAGAGTGAGTCAACTTGGGGCAACATCCTTCTCTAAAATTTACACTGCGTTGCCCACAAAAGGGTGAAGCAGCTTGGAATGGCAACATCCTTCTGTAAACTTTACCCGCGCGTGGCTCACCAAAGGGTGAGCCAAGTCAACTTGGGGCAACATCCTTCTCTAAAATTTACCCCTGCATTGCCCACAAAAGGGTGAGGCAGCTTGGAATGGCAACATCCTTCTGTAGGGGGAGCCAACTTGGAACGGCCAATTCCTTCTCTAAATTTTACCCCTGCGTTGCCCACATAAAGGGGTGAGTCAAATTGGAATGGCCACTTCCCTCTCTAAATTTTACCCTCGGGTTGCTCACCAAAGGGTGGGTCAACTTGGAAGGGCAACATCCTTCTCTAAATTTTACCCCTGCAGAAAAGGTCGAGCCAAGTTGGAATGGCCAGTTCTTACCCTTGCATTGCCCACAAAAGGGTGAGTCAACTTGGGGCAACATCCTTCTCTAAAATTTACCCCTGCATTGCCCACAAAAGGGTGAGGCAGCTTGGAAGGGCAACATCCTTGTCTAATTTGTATCCCTGCATGGCCCACAAAAGGGTGAGTCAACTTGGCATGGCCACTTCCTGCTAAATTTTACCCCTCCATTGCCCACAAAAGGGTGGGTCAAGTTGGAATGACCACTTCCTTCTCTAAATTTTACCCTCAAGTGGCTGACCAAAGGGGGAATCAATTTAGAAGGGCAACCTCCTTCTCTAAATTTTGCCCTTGCATTGCCCACAAAAGGATGAGTCAACTTGGGGCAACATCCTTCTCTAAAATTTACCCCTGCATTGCCCACAAAAGGGTGAGGCAGCTTGGAATGGCAACATCCTTCTGTAAACTTTACCCGCGGGTGGCTCACCAAAGGGTGAGCCAACTTGGAACGGCCAATTCCTTCTCTAAATTTTACCCCTGCATTGCCCACATAAAGGGGTGGGTCAACTTGGAACGGCCACTTCCCTCTCTAAATTTTATCCTCGGGTTGCTCACCAAAGGGTGGGTCAACTTGGAAGGGCAACATCCTTCTCTAAGTTTTACCCCTGCATGGCCACAAAAGGGCGAGCCAAGTTGGAATGGCCACTTCCTTCTCTAAATTTTACCCCGGCATTGCCCACAAAAGGGTGAGGCAGCTTGGAAGGGCAACATCCTTGTCTAACTTAAACCCCTGCATGGCCCACAAAAGGGTGAGTCAACTTGGCATGGCCACTTCCTTCTAAATTTTACCCCTGCATTGCCCACAAAAGGGTGGGTCAAGTTGGAATGACCACTTCCTTTTCAAATTTTTACCCCTGCATTAGCCACAAAAATAGGGGTTCCCTTTCGTAGCATCCTAAAACATCCAAACTCGCACGTCAGGCACGTCGCTTCGTCGCTTTGTACGTACGTGCCCAATTCCTTGGCCCCAAAGAAAGCTAACACTGGCTGGTCAACCTGGGCGAACTATTGGCTGCCGGGCCGGAGCCAACCAAGTGCCTAAACTGTCGCACCCAACAAAGAAGAGTATGTGTGAAGAGTCAGGACTCCTTCGAGCAAAATCAAAGAGAAACCTGCAGTACGTCTATAAAAATTAATGTGTTTTTGTTTTGGTGCTAACAACCTCCACTGTAGAAACCAATCCATCTTCCAGCCTCGTTCTTGCCAGGATAGAAGAAGTTCAATCCTGGCACCCAAAAGACCGGCCAAGGGCAGGGCAGGCGGTTGAGGAGCAGGTCTTTTTCCAAAGCTCCAATACTCCACGCCGGTGCCCAGGTACACAACCCTTCGTGTTTTTCATGCCTTCTCCTTTCAATTGCGAAGAATGATCCACCTGTGGGATCCGTCTTGAGAGTGGCACATCACTGACGGCCCAATCTTTCGTTTGAGTCTTGTCGAGTCGAGTGCATGAAGCAACCAGCAGAATCTTTTCTGGGAGTGTCCATGCGCCGAAGCGTGTTGCGCTTCCATGCAAAACCGAAAAACCTAACATAACCTCACTCACTCTCCTTCCGAGGCCCTGGTGACAAGCCTCTCCCCGAACACCGAGACCTGGCGACGGACGAGCACCGCACGAGCGAAGACGACTTGACGGACTCACTCCACGCGACCTGTGTCAGTGCCAACCGACCAGTTGGCATGCTTTCCGCTGCCATTGATGCCGGCGAATGGCTTCCTGATCACATCTTCACCACATGAGGCATGGAGCGCTTTGCGAGTTCGAACGAATTCACAAGCCGGCTGGTGATAAAAAGGAGATATTATACAGTGCACATTTGAATACAGTGGTTTCCTGTATATAACCTACCTGTATCCAACAAGCATTCAAGTGGATAGCATGGCCCCTTGCAACACCCTCTCACAAACAGGCTCTGTAAAGTTTGTCCGGGAGTGGTCATATCTAGCCTTTTCAATTTGGAGCTCTGCGCATGCTGCGATGCTGCCCGTGCCGCTGGACTGTTGGACACACATTCTCGGCCAAAAACGATCTGTTTGCTCTCTGAACTTTACTGCATGTTACGGCCTCATCTTGAGGTCCCAGCAGGAGCTTGGAGGAGTCTAGTTGTCCAGTACTTGGCAGAACTGACAGAAGAGTTCATTCTGCAATTTTGTATGCGTGTGCTGCGTGTATATGAGTGACATGTGTTGCCCCAAGTAGATTGGGATCTTAAAAGAGCAAACTCACAGGCATTCCAAAAACACAAGAATGCAATGCCTAGGGCAGGATCTGGTGACGCTTTCCCGGCGTCGGATTCGCTTTCCCGGCTTCCAGGAAAACGGGCTGACTCCGTCCAAGGTTCTCATGGAAGAGCACCTGGAGTCCCAGCTTGGCGGCCTCCCGGTTCATCACCTCCATGAAAAGCCTCGGTCGAAGGGCCCCCTCCGTCTGTCACAACTCGGATGAGACACGTCCCGGCCCGAATCGTTTCGTTGCATCCTTCGCCACCTCTTTTGTTCAATTCAAAAGCCCAACGCCTGGTTGAATCCAAAAGGCACGTTGCTGTCGCAGGAGACATTGGCCGTGCGGAAGACGGGGGACATCTCGTGCTGTCCTGGGAGTTCCACGCGAGGCCGAACCGTTCGGATGCCGAAGCGTTCTGAAACTCTGCATTCGAGGCGGCAAAGAAAATCAAAAGGTATTTTGCACCTAGGAGATAGAGGACAAGATCAAATGCACAATGCACTACAATGCACCAAATGGCTTTGGTCACACCTGTTGCTTTGGGGCAGAAACGCCCCCCGAGGCCAAAAAACACCCAGTCTTTGAGCAGTTCTTGGGGGTGGCACTGAGATGGAGTCCATCTTGTTGCCATGCTGATGCTTTTGAATCGCCCAGCGGTGCCCCAACAGCCTGGAGCCACCTCGTTGTGCTTCACAGCCATTGGGCAACCCACCTGTTCGTGCGCCCCACGAGAGCAGGTCCAAAGCAGGGTTGCCAGAGCAAAACGCCGCGTGGGGTTTTGTGGAACTCATTGACCTTCTGGTGTTGCCTAAGATGACGAGCGGCAGACTGCGATTTACTGTTGAGACTGAGAGATCTCACAACGCTACTAGACCAGACATTCCCAACAAAAGCTACGTCGCATCAGCCACGGCCTCGCATACATCCAACCAAAGGCCAAAGGTGTTCCTCCCATCCTTTTCCCGCTTTTGCTCGGGGAGCAAGCATGGCAGGCTGCAAATGGTGGGGGGAGGGGTATGGCAAACCCGAAATCATCAGGCCTCTTCAGTTGGAGACCCAAAAATCAACTAAATCTACGGTTGAGAGCCACTTAGATGTGTCCTTTGCGTGGCTCAGAAAGCCTCCAGCCCTCGCCAGACTGACTTCTCACTCTCCCACCTTGAGCATCTCCGCCTGGACGATGTCCAAGAGCTCTTGCACCTTCTTTCAGCGCCATGATACGGGAAAACACGGCGAGGCTCATGGCATGAATTCAATCCCAGGTGAAGAACACAAACAGAAGGAACGCCCAGTGACTGGGGTTCCTCACTTGTGGTTCACAGCCCCGGTGACTGAGGTCTTTTGACCCAGACCCTTCTTTGGAAGCATTATCACTGGATCAGCTGAAATCACGAGGGTGTCTTCGCTCGTGTCCGTCGGATCACGATGGATCATGGATCCTCCAACTTGACATCGAAAAGGGAAAAAATATGTTCACCTCAAGGCTGAAGAAGGCTCCAAAAGACTTGCAAACCCCTACTCCACCTGTTGGTCGGATGCATTTCTGGAGAGAGATCGGGGATGTCACCAAAATGTGCAAACAAAGGCCACGTGTTTCTTGCCTGTCAGTACTTAGCCTTGGAATAAGGACCCACTGCACCATGTTCTATGTCACATCTTCGTCCAGGTCTTGACCTCTCCGAGGGCACTACTTCGCGCCTCCCAGTCAAGTAAGGCCTGTTCCAAAAACACATTGTGTCTTTCCATCCAACCCTCGGTCGAGAAAAAAAGCATCCGACCCCGGCCAATGGCATTCGTGGACCGTGGGACCGTGGAGATGGTTTTCCCTAGAGACTCAATTCTGTGTTCAGGTGTCAAAGCTGGAAGATTCAACCGGATGTGGCTCAAAGAAGAGGTCCCTGCCTTTTACTGGTTTCTGTCTACGATCGTTTATGTGTCCTTGACCAGTGGTGTCAGCAGTACCTTGTGGAATCAAAAATGTTCATGGTAGAAAATTGAAAACCTGAACTCTTCCCGTTGTGCTTGATTTACTGGCCAGTCTGAGAATGGTTTTCTCTGCTCCACAGATCTCCGCGACGTCGCGGGTCATCACCAGTGCCCAGCAGACCAGCCTTCCCTGGGATTGGCTGGAAGTAGTTGAGGTCTCCTTGTTGATGACGAGTTGGCAACTTTCCAAACAAGGTGCCTAGGTGACAAGTCGCGACCCCACAGGTGGCGCCAAGGGTCGCAAGGGCCGATTTCGGGGTGTGAGCGATGTTAGTCCTTTGTTTTAGTCCTTGGGTAGACCCAATCATCATCACTCATTCAATTCCTGGGAGGAGCACCATACTCACCATACCCTGGCACTGAAGGACGCCCAAATTGCCACCCAAGTCCCGGCAAACTGTTGGGGTGCTGGCGATGTTTGGTGCATGGCACAGGAGCAGCTCTGACTTAGTAGAGCACACCACCCATTGGAAAAATAAACTCTAGCACTTGTGAGATGATTGCAATATCCTCCTCAGTAGTGACTGGTGGAAACAGCTGAATGCGCAGAAGAGTCGCACATTGCAGCCCCCTAGAAGCCAAAACTGAGAAAAGAGACCAGCGAGCACTAGAGTGTCTTCCCAACAGCCACAATCGCAGTCCAAGAATCTATGTCTATATCTAAACTCTAGTGTTGTCTTGATGAATAAAGCCCCCTATCAGATTGTTTTGACATCTCCACAGGGAGTAGACCAAAAAAAAAAGACGTCTATACCTTAACCCCCTTTGATTCTTGGACCCTCTTAGTCCCACCTCTCCCACAAAGTCCAGCCGGAGCGGCGGCCGGTGTTCACCAGGTCAGGCCGGGCCTTGTAGAGCGCAGCGGAGAGCACGAAGAACCTGACGTCGCTCCGGTCTTTTTCTCGTGCGAGAGCATGGAGGGTCCGGAACTGCTGCGATAGCATGGAGGATGGGTGGCTCCACAGAAATGATACCTTTGTGGTAACAAAAGGTAAACTCACCACCAGAAAAATCATGGATACACACCTGCTTCGGACCATCTGAGAGCGCAATCCTCATTGGCTTCCGGAAAACGACGTGCCGTGTACCAAGGTGGTATGTTCTTGACCAGTAGATCTTTCCAGTCACTTGCACGTCTCTAACAACAAGCTTCTTGTGCTTTGGCCTTCTTCGAATTCCGAGAAACTCCTGTTCCCAGCCCAAATAGCTGTGCATGGTCTTCGCATCAGTACCTCAGGTCTCGGTGTTGGCTTCACCGGGGAGCTTGGGGATAGGCTTGCGGCATTCGGGAGGTTCCGACGGATTTGGAGTCCAGAATGTCCATCCAACAAAACAGAGATTGAGTCCATTGGAGGTCAGGTCTGGGCGGGAAGATGTGCTTTGGAGACCTCCTAGCCTACTAGCTTGATTTGGGTTGATCTAGGGCGGGTCAAAATCTGCAGTGCATTTTCCGCACGTCACCCACCTTCCAAGTCCAAGAGATTCCGGAAGGGTTCCTCAAGAGACGTGCGTCTCAAAGAAGGTCACCGACAGGGGTTGTAGTCATCATAGTATTGTTGCCCTTGCTTGCCAGCAAAAGGGGATTCTCTCATGTGTGAAAACGCATCTTTTCCCTCTCGCCACCTGCCATGGCGTCTTGCATGGCCTATGGCCATTCGCAGGTCAATGTTCTCTCATGGTCCTGGAAGTTACATTGCTGCGATACACACGTTGCTTGGGCAAAACTCCTTTTTTGAACAGCTGTAGCTGCTCCCATCAAACAAATCACTGAATCTTGTCTAAGCTCTTGTAGTTTCTGCGACGAATCAAGGAATCCTTTGGATACAGTGACCCCCCAGCAACAGTTGGCGAGAAGTAGTATGTTTGATCTTGTCGGAATTTCCTCATGTGTGGTCGGGGCAACCAAATCGATCCTCCGTCCTGCTATTGTTCTTTGCTTCATTCCCTACACAGGTCGTCATCTCGTTCCAAACTCACCGCACACACCAGGTTCGAGGAAAAACGTCCGTGAGCTACACTCGCTAGTACTAGAACTAACATGGAAGTGGAAAATGGCCCCTTGGAAGACAATTTTCCTCTACAAACAGGAGGTTTCATGGGTTTTCCACTTCCATGTTAGTTCCAGGGAGTGTACGAAGAAAAAAAACTGGCTCTGAGGAGTCGCAATGAAAGTCGCTCCTAGAAGCGAGCAAGCTTCTTTCAGATCCAAGCGAGCTTTCCGCCTAATTTGCTTTGATCTAAGGCAAAACACTGTGCGCAAAGGCCTGCCCTTAAAGGAAATGAACAAACCCTTTGCTTTGAAAGCTAAATACCAAGGATGTGTTTAGAATATGGTGTCCAATGATCACAAAATCAAACGACTATGGACAACTCTAGCTCTTGACCGCACATCAAGATCCTCCAAAACACTCCGTCCCCCAAAAAAACGAAAAAATCACTTCCGGTGTCCCACGTGGAAGACCCGATGCACCGAGGCACCGATGTTGATCGCCTTCAAGAGTCGAAGACCCGACGTCTTCACCGCATCCATGGAGCGCAAGAGGGGCGTCTTCTCGTCGATGCACTTCCCAAAGTGCGTCACGAACGCCTTGGGATTCGGCGTAGCGGTGGCCGCCGAAAGACGGCCGGGCAAAAGATGGATCGCAGGCATGGGGTTGGGAGGATGGCAGAGAAGTTCACCTTGGTGTGTAAGCTAGGAGGATGAATCCAATGAGGCAGTGTTGGGACGAAGTAAGACTGGTCAGATAGGCTATCTTGAAGGCGGAAGATCAATAGGGGTGTCCTTTTTCGCAGACTCACTGCGCTTAAAGCGGAAGATGAACAAAAGAAGTGCGGAAGATCGGCCCAATCATCAGTGGTGGCGGTTTTTAGGCTGTCTGGCGCCCGAATCCGCTGAACGGGCTCCGCGGCTTTTCGTTCCCAGGTTTGGAACAGAAATCGGTTGTTTCAATTTGATGTGATTTGAGCCTTCCTGCCAAGCTGTTCCAGCATTTTGGGACCTCGAATCGAGTCTGGTGCAGGCTCCATCGACCCCAACTTCCAGGGCCTTCCCCACTTCGCAGGCTCGAGAGGCACAGGGGATGTAGAGGCACTTGTCCGTGACCTGGGCTGATCAAGGCCTAAGAAGCACTCATAGATCAGACATACGTCAACCATGGCAAGATTCTCAGATAGATCCATCTCAAATAGAATTTGATGTGCTGCGATGTTGTGGCTACTTCATTTAAAACGGTCCATGTTGCTTTGTGTGGTGTCCCCCTGTGTTTTTTACTGGCATTCTCGCTGCCTAGCAACATGTTTCTATGCGCATCTGTCTATCAACACCCTGCAGTTGGCAAAGGGACTAGATGTTTAGGGACCCTTTATTTCTTCACCGCCCCTGGGTTTGTGTCGTAGAAGTGAGGGGTTGCATGCGCTTGCCTTTGAGGTGGCTCCCATCTTAAGGCCCAGCCAGCTTCACACTTCACATCCAGTGCTCCTCGCCCTGTATTCTTCACAAACCACGGTGGAAGCGCTCAGCGGTCGACCGGAAGCCCTCCGATCGCATCCATCCCAGCGAGAAAACAAAGAAATTTGGCTGGAGGAAGCTCATCATTATCTATATTGCTATATGCATACAATCTGTATATATATATATATATAGAGAGAGAGAGAGAGTCCTTCCCCCCTTCCCTTCACCTGTCACTTGCCCCATCCCTTTCCTGCTTGGTTTCTGAGCGGCAAAGGGTGGCGAGGCGCGATCCCAGGTGGTGAAGGCTGCGGCCGAGTGAGTGACCCGCAGTCCGCCGTTGGGGAAGGAGCCTCGGAAGGGAGACCCGACGTTTAGGGAGTGGGTCTGCGGAGCGCGCCCACGTGCAGCGCGTTTGGGAGGCACTTGGTTTTTAGTGATCTGGATGGAATCCAGATGTGCTTTGCTTGAGAATCTACTTCCATACTGTGCCCACTTGTTGGCAGAGGGAGTGCTGCAAGACACGCAGGGGATTTGGATAGTTCTGGGTTCGCCTCTCAGCTTTCTTCAACTGATGAGGTCTGTCCAGAAGGTTCTTGGTCTCCCGTGTTGTCAGCCACACCAGGGGTGGAGGCGGTCAGCACCTCAAAGCCGGTGCCAAGGGGCTGCCATCCGTCTCTCCCTGAAAGAGACGCTCATGTGGCAGGCAGGCCTCGTGTGACGCTCGTGGGTCGAGCGAGAACTCACGGACGGACGGTCACTCGCTGATTCAGGAGTCCGTGACGCGGGTCCCGGGCATTGATCGTATAGAAATTTATGGAAATTTAGAAATATGGGAGGACGAAGCAACGTTAGAGAGTGGACACGATACGATTGTCCAAAATGCCAAGTATGGAGTTTGTGCGGACCAACAGCAGCCCTGAATCTTCAGGACAGGGGGCGGTGGTTCGATGTACGTCTTTCGACACGGAAAAAGAATGTTTGCGGTTCCCAGGAACTCCTGGTGGTCGACGTCGACCCGCAGATTCCTGGTGGTCGACCCTAGCAGCCACTAAGGAAATCACATTCTCAGCTTCATCCTCCGGAAAAACGTTGAAAATATGGTGCGAGGCTAGTGAGTTATTTACTCTGGATGTTGGCTAGCGGCTAGCCTATGCCGGTAATTACTGCAACCTTTCAGCAATTTCATGCAACTTCTAGTAGCAAAGGGCATCGCTACTAGGAGCAAGGACGCTACTAAGGGCTCCTGGCCGTACTAATAGGAGCAAGTAGCTACTAGTAACAAGAAGCTACTAATGTCTATCCGAAACCGAGTCCTTTCGGCCAACACAACGACCCATTTCATTGGCCGACCTGACCCTCTTGGATGCGACCTGACCGACGGACGAAGTCTCGAACTCGGGACGAAGTCTCGGTCCTTCATGGGTTTGGTGACAAACTTCGATCCAAACTCCAAGTCCTGAACGGCTGGGGTCTGCAGACTTGTCCAAGCTTGTGATTCACTTCAGGTGACCAACAACTCCCATGTTTCAGCATCCCAATTACCGGATCGAATTGGAGCAAACGAAGCAAAGAACTTCCTGGGAATGTAAGTGTCTTCATAGGGTCTTTGCAGGAAAGGAACGAGATCAGGTTGGCTTGCGGAAAGCACTTGGTTGGACAAAGGGCCATCTGTCTTCTCTTGGGATAATAAATCTCAAAAAGGAAAAACGGCCTATGTTATGTTGAAACAGTGGCCCAAACAAGGTCGGAACGGCATGGGACAGTGGGGTGATGTAAGCTGAATAACCTGAAAAGCAGCATCTGTTGGTCAATGCATCAGTGTCAATTGGCACGTCCAAACCATCCAGTCGCATAGGAACCACGGGACAGGCATTTCCCCAAGCCAGCACGGTTTTATGAAAGAACCGTTGAAGGAAGAAATCTGGCGCCGTGAGACCTGAAGTTGGAAATTAAACTCACCACTTGTTTTGCACATTTGAGGAGCCTCCAGCTGGTGCATGTTGGTGCTATTTGCCCAGGTATGAGAATGGGGAAGTATCCAGCAGGCTTTAGTCAAGGTGTCTGTTCCCATTTCTTCCTGCATAGCTGTCCTTATGCTAAGACAAACCCATGTCTTCCTTTGACCGCAGCATGAATTTGACTTATGCCCCTCATTTCCAAGCTCGCGGTCAGAGTTCATCTCGCGTTCTTTCTCCAGCCCCAAAAAGTCGTGCAGGTCTCCAGGTCAAGAACCTGGCAGACACCACGACGCCTCCTAAACCAGAACATACCAGAAGCGCCAGAACCCTAGAAACGGCCTACACCAGAGAGTACCCCCTTCTGTATGTACTGCCTCTCCGCCGCTGCCCAGGCTCGATCAAGGTGTCGCGCTTGAAGGCGCCCAACATGCCACCGACGGCACCACAGCCACCGCGCAGGGGGAAGAACCAGTGGGCAAAGTCAATGGCTCCCAGCCTCAAGCAGCGTGGACCGGACGAAGGGGGGAGGAAAACACGGAGACCTCGACACCCGTGCAACTCGTAAGGAATGAGGAAAGTGTCGCCCACAAGAGGAATGAGTCCTTTGGATCCAGCCACCTGAGTCCTTTGGATCATCCTCATCCCCTACGAGTCGCATCAGTCAGCCAGGCCTACGAGCGCCTGATACGTCCAAAGACCTTGAAAGCTCAACGGCAAATGAAGCCCATTGCTGTGAAAGGAAGAAGCTTTCAGAAGCTTTCCGATGTGAGCACATCCATCATCATCCTTGCATTTGGAACCAAACAAAAGCCCCAAGCCTTCGGTGTGAAGAACAGTTCTCACAGTTTGTTTTTCTGAGTACCACGGGTGATCCAACAAACAAATACGACTGGATGACGTGGCAAATCAAACAAGCTGACCAATACTGGCGATCAAACAAAACGGCAAGCACTGGCTCCTTTATCAATAAAAGAAACATCGTTTCTAGCTCAAACAGGCTCCGAGCTGGAGTGGAAATCTACCCAGGGAAACTCAGCCCTCCAAATCGAGCAGCTCGCGAGCCCACGTGAAAATCGCATCTGCAATGACCTGGACAGTGATCATGGCAGCCCCCATGGGTGTGGATCAAAATCGGGAGGACTGTGGCTAACACACAAAATGGGCAACCAGGGCACGGCCACCCCAGGGCACGGCCACCCCAGGGCACGGCTAGTCCTGACTTGATGGTCTGAGAGATGAGTCCGGACAGACTGGACACATTGGATTCGAGGGCGCATCTGAATGAGGAACAAAAGAACAGCAGCTGGAAGTAGGGGTGATTTTGGGATTGGCATGGGTTTGCCTTCCACCCCCCAAGCTAAGAAGGGACAACGCAAAGTACGATACCGGAAGAGCAGTGGAGTTTCTTCCGAGCTGTCAGAGCACTAATGAACTCTCACATAATCCTCTTTACACACTAGCACTAGCATGCTATTTCAAAAAACATACCAGACCAAATGACACTATACATGTCTTCGTTGTCTTCCAACACTCCTCCAAGCTTCTTTGTAGATGCGTCTTTTCCTTGAACCGAACCGAAGGAAACGATGCTCTCCCAGGGCACCTTCTGGTCCTCCTCCGGCGTGGGGTCGCCAGTGATGAGACACCTCGGCGTGGGACGGAGCATGAGGATCCCCATAGATGCCAAGAGCTTGATCTGGTTTCGTGGAAGACCGCCGCAGTCTAAGCCTAATCACTCCCTGCCAACTATGCATTCCCCCAACAACGGAAAGAAAGCAGAACGATCTGAGGTTGAGAGAAAGGGGGCCTACCTCCCACTTTGTCTTTCTAGTGTTGTGCGCTCCGGCATGTATGTTGCGGTAGGCTCCAGCAGCATTGAATGTAAGGTGGACCATGGAGTGTAGATGTTTTCTTCTGCACAGATCCCCTTCAAGGTGGACAAACTTTAAGTCCTGGATTCCTGGATCCTTTGTTTTGTGATCGTTTTCGTTGCCGCTGACGTGCCGTGTTTTGGACCTGGGTGAACACAGTTTCAACAGGTTTCAGCAGCTAGTATGTCCATACAATGCAAAACCCGAGCGTTTCTCTGAAAACTCGTTTCATACAATGCAATAGAAGCCGCATGACATGCCATCGCTTCGAGTTCCACCAGACCCACCCGGTGACCGGCACCGCCCGCCCGCGTTCAGCGCCGGCCCGGGCGGCTCGTTGAAGCGTTGCAGCACCGCGGAGGGCAACTTCTGTGCCATCACCGCCTGGGAGAGGAGTGGGGAGGGACATCGGGATACCGCGACAAGGTGATGCTTTGGGTGTGAACATGCTGAACATGCGCGAAATTGGTGAAGTGGAAGATGTGCTCGCACAAACTGTGGGATCGGTATGGCAGTTCAAAAACCATGTCGTCATCTTTCAAGATTATATTATATATTATATATATATTATTTGCATATTTATAGTACTGTATATTCCCCTGATGTGGTCCCCATGGTAGTGGTTTCTGATTGGTCTGCACACACCAACTGCCCCAAGTGCAGGTTGAGTGTGGAAGGCCCATGAAAACTGATGGTGGACACCAAGTGGATCCGAAATCTGTTCTGTCCTTGGCCATCGCAGGGAAAGATCTGGGATTGTCGCTGGGATATGCCATTATCGTCTCCGTTCAACACATCGATCATGTGTATACCGTAGACAACTGCGAACTTCGGCGATGAGCCACCGGATGAACCGGATGTTTGGGTTTCAGGTTCTTCCGAAACGTGCAGATGTCTGGAGATCCGTGGGGTCCACCTTTCTCCATGACCAAAAGGAGGTGAAAACGCCGGTTTCTGGTCAGATCGTTACACCCAGAGAGCCTGAAGGTTCAGTGGTTTCTGGAGTTTGGCATAATAGTGCTGCAGGAAGGCGATCTTTGCAACCCGTCAGACCTGTGAGACGTCACAAAAAATGGCTGAATCCAAAAACCAGTGCTTGCACTTCCGACCGTCACTCCTACAAGCACTTCCCCATCACCATCCTTCCACCATCCCATTTCCCATCTCCAGTGCTTCCCAGGGCACATCATCAAACATGGCCTTGCCCAGGCTGCTGAGAGCATCCGCCATGGCGAGAACGGCGAAAACCAACGGCGTTTCGCTTCTACGGTCTGCGAGCAAGTTCTGCAGCGAACGGAGCCCTCCGCGGAAACGAGGCGGACCAACGCGGAACAGAGGCGGTCAGGGACCAGGTTTCGGACGACGGCCAGTTTTTGGTGCAACTGCTTGGAGGAATTCTCGACCGTCCAAGAAGCAAGGGAAACCAACAAAAAGGCAACACACAAAGAGTGCTTCTGTGCACCTCTTTCATTGCTCACGTTATCACAGCAGAGCTCAACCCTTGGTGGACTGCAGGTAGGACCTAGCATACCTCTGGTATCCTCTGGTACTTGAGATGTTGACACGAGCCTGATCCATGGATAGCCAAGCTATGAGAACTTTTTGGACACAAGCAGAAACGCCATGACCATGTATCTTACATGGCATGGTTGCATGTGGCATGGAAACAACGGCACATCATGGGGCCGAAGGTGCTGCCATCCAAGTTCGGAACGGCCAAAACCGCTCGAAGCCTGGAAGGAAACCAAGGCAAGTGAATGTCTGCTAAAATCGATTCCACTCCGGGGGCGGCAATCACCAAATGTCTAACACAATGCCTTTAAGGTTCCATGAGTTCGATGTACCTATTTCATATGAGGCGGGTTCAACAATCACATCAACCTGGATTTTGGTATCGATTAGTTTGGGCCACCACTGGCTCGGAGATGCAGGCCGAGGCAGAATCGGAATTCCTGACCTGCATGGAACCAGTGATGTAGTATCCGCGCGCGCTGCACGTGGATGGTTGGGCAGGCTTGAAACTGTGGAACGAATCCTGCCAGGAGATGAGATCCAGCTTGGGGTGGGAAGTTTGTGCAGCATTATTTCGGCAAAATACCATTTGACTGGAATTCTGGTTCATTGTTGACCCCAAATCAGATCTCGTATCTGCACAGTGCAACACTGCGGCTCTTGGCAAACCCAGGTCGAAAGGAATGTCACTTCAAAAAGGTAGGAACGCGATCAGTTGACTAGACTATGTGTCCAACCCTTCTCTTATGTTCCAAGACTCGTCTTGCTTTAGCTCCGAACCAAAGATTCAACATGCAAAGACCCTGCATCCTTTCCGGCCATATCTCCCCTTGGATTGGAAACCTTGATATCTCCGGGTGTGCCAGGGCCGAGAAGGCCGCGCCTTTTTCAGCGCGCTAGCTCTAGCCAGGTCGCCGTGGGAGGCTAGGCCAACCATCAGATCGAAGGTGGCACCAGTGTCGGGCAAAGGTGTGGCTTGGGTTTTTGGTTTTCGGTTTTCACCTGACAGCATGTACTGTACAGAGCTTGGAAATAGCTGGGATGTTTGTTGTTTTTTGAGATGTGAGGGTCCGGATAGAGTTTGAAAGGAAAATGACCGGAAGCTTAAGGAATATGCAGTTCTTCGCGGAAACAGTACTGGAACATACCGGCCCACTAGCACGTCGCGTAATGCTCAGTTGGCTGGGCCAGGGAAAATTTTTGGAAGTCACCGGCCTGAAAAAGCAGCTGGAAGATTCGGGGCAATATCTTCGGAACATGGCCCCATCTTGGGGTCGGCCCCAATTTGACCCTTAGCTGATCCAAACTTGGCGCAAGTTCAACTCAATGGCAGGAAAGTAGTTCAGTTCAGTTCATCTTGGGAGCATGTGGTTATCTTGGGGCAACTGCCCGAGGCGGCTCAAGTTCGGCTCCACTTGGGACTACATGGCCCAAGTTAGGGACTATGGGTCTACCACTAACTTGGCCCAAGTTGGCGGAAACAAGTGTCGAACACTTTCAGATACTTTCAGTATGTGGTGTGTTTTTACTTTTTCGCAGCACATTCCTCAGGAGCAAGCCAAGCAAGAATGTCTGCCGTAATGTACACTGTACTTGGTGTGGTGTGTGTGCGTGTGCACATGAGTGTTCAAAATCCTTTGACCTTTGGATGGGATGTTCAAAAAGCTGGAAGGATGGCTGGAGGCTATGGCTTGGCTTCCTTCTTCAAATGATAGAGGGGACGCTTGCGCATTGGCTTGGCTGGAAGTTTGGAGAGCGCAAATGGACAAAAGGAGCGAGGCCTCGCAGTGGCCCTCATCCTCCACCTTTGCGGGGCCTTGAAAGTCTTCCTAGCATTTGATCAAGGGTTCGTTTTTGGTTGCCCGGTTGCCATGACACTGAGCCCTGGACTGCTGGCAGACCCAAAGCAAAGTCCAGGAGCTAACAAAAGACAAGAACGATCTTTCCGAAACATGTTCCACATGTGTACGAGATACTTTAGCTACGGAAAGAGGGTCGTCGAAACGTCGGCCAGTCCAAGACTGACCTCGAAACCATGGCCCGACTCAACTGGTTGAAACATCCTCTCCACGGCAACAGGCTGCTGGACATCACTAAGACCCCGTCTGAGTCTCATCCACTGCGTGCTCGTCGAAGAAACCTGCTCGGCGGAGCGAGCACAGCAACGAGTCTCATGCACGGTCAACCCGCGGTGTTTGGTGCTGAAAAAGGGCGACACCCTCCTACATACCCCTGTGTGTCGGTTCTATTTACAAGGAGGTCCTCTTACCACACTGCCACACAGGTGTCATATCCTACCGTTGTCAGAGTGACATGAGTGGCGGCACGACGTCACCGAACCTGCCCGCCTGGACGAGCGGGTCCTGGGTCAAAAGGACCTCAACGCCGTGGGTTGGGAAGAGGGTGCCTTTTGCATGACACCCGCGTCATAGACGAGCTGATACTTCAAGTACTTCTCAAAGGCCTGGTGCGAACACACCCAGGATTCGGTGGCGAATGGGACGGCTGAGTTTACGGAGCCTCCAACTCCACCAGAGGGAAACAGGTTTCTCTTCTATTTTAGGTTGGCAGCCATGAAACTGGCCCACACCCCGCAACTGTCTGACATGGGAAACGGCGAATGTATGATGCAAAAACCCGCAAAGTCGTTCATGACTTAGGCTTCATTGTGACTGTGAAGGCTGAAGTTGTTCCCCATGACGAGGTTGGGTGTTGGTTCTTGGGATGTATTGCGCTGCAGACAGGGGAATATCATTGCCCCAGATTTGTTGGTCGTTTCATGGATGCTGTTTCCGCCCGCTTCGAGCAGTCGGAGAAGAACAATTGGAAAATGAACGCAGCCGGAAAGCTAGGCCAAAAGTCTACTGTAAATCAAAAGAATAGGGGGACAGGGAGAGGCCTTCAGCATACCATCATCCTTCTGTCGCTGAGCATAGTACAAAGCTGTGCGGCCCCAGAAATCTTTGGCATGAATAGACGCGCCAAACATCATCAACATGGCCGCGACATAGACCTCGGTTCGCTTGATTCGGATAGAAAAGCAGAATCAAAACATGTGCAGAACATAGTTCCATATATATATATATATATTGCGAGGCCTCAGTACGAAAACCTGTACATGTCTGTCATGAACGGAGTAGCTTTCTTTACGTACTCCTCCTTGGTGATGCGAGTCAAAAGTATGTGCTCGTCTTCACCATTTCTAGAAAGGAACTGCTTCGCTATCTAGGAAGCTCATGTGGCGTTCCATCCGAGCATACATTTCCATCTTGGATTCATGTTCATTCCTTTGGTTGAGCTCGAACCATCGCTTCTCGAACTGAAGGGAATACTGCTTGGCTCTCAAACAGGGCCTAGCGGCTGGCTTGTCATACTCGCTCACTTCATGCAGTTCTGCATCTGTGAGCCACCTCGTTGTCGGTGCTGACAAGGTCAAATCCTCAAACTCCAGGTCTCTGCTGCCGCTGCCACGCGCTTCCCCTGTTCGATCTGGTACCCTTTCTGGCTCTGTCTCCATAGGCGCCGGTCCTTCATCTTCACTTTCTGGTTCTCGAGGTTGAAGCTCACCTGCTCTCACTGTCACCACTTCTCCAGATTCTAGCCTGACTTGTACTAGGTCATCTGGATCATGTTCTCCTTCTTCACTTTCTTCATCTCTCAAGGTGTTGTCGCGGATGTTCAGGTGTCGACGTGTCTGCTCAACATTTCTCTGAAGGTAATCTTTGATCTGTTTGTCAAGCCTCCTCATGTCGAACTCCTTATTGGTGTCCTGGAGGTAGTCCCAATGCCTCCAGTCTTCCATCAAGACTTCATCATCGTCAACGTAACCTGAAGCTTTGATCAAGCCTCGATGTACTTTCTCCACA